GTACACAACAAACCCCAATTGCCAACAGAAGTGGTCATTTTGAAGCCAGGGATCACATGTTCCCAGGGGAACATCTGCAGTGGTTTGGCTCCAATTGGGCTACATTCATGGAGATGACAACAAGGTTAAGACAGCTCCATTACGAACCCCCTGGAGCACTTCTCTGCAGACTTCCTTCCAGGCAGATGCAAGAGCTCTTTAGTCAAGAGCACCGTGGCTCCGGGAGACTTCATGTGCATCTGGGACACTTCCTGAGTGATATGCTCATAGTCATATGGTGGCCCCCATGCCACTAAAGAGCCTGATAAATAATTCTGCCACAATGGCCTCAGAGCCAGAGGAAAAAGCAGAAAGCCACAGGGTCAAGTGTTTCCACAGGAAAGACAGAAGCTGTAAGATGTTTCTATTAAGTACCTGTGCTATTACAAGACACCACAGGCCCAGGGAAGATACTCAGGGGGCAAAGAACTATGTCTGTCTATATGTTTTAGGATGAGTTCAGGGACCTGTCTTACTGTGAGGACACCTTTTCTTTCACTAGTGCAGAAAATGGAAGCAGTATTTTCCAAATGGGGTAAGATGAACAATTTTTTTTTAAAAATATTTTTAAATTTTAAGTGATAGCAGAGCAATAAAGGAAGTGGATTTCTAGTGCCAGGAAACTCAGGGGCGAGAATATATTGAGCACAAGCTGAACCACTAAGCTAGAGCTAGAACTAGCATTGTGTTGTATTTATTGTATTTTTAATATTTTGTGTTGCAACATGGCCAATGTGTAGTCCAGGGTGCCTTCAAGTTGTGATCTTTCCCCTTAGCTTTGTAAACCACTGGGATCACAGTCATGGGCCACCAGGCCTGATTGCAATTGGCATTTTATATGGGCCACTGGCAGATAATAATACTGAAGTACCTACTGTCCTCTGTACTTTTCTTGGAAAGATGAGACAAAGAATATAATTTTGTAAGTTTTATTCTAATTAGACAGTATTTTAGCTTTATTTCCCTCTTTGATTTTAATGAAACGCTATAGAAAATTTCCATGTCTAAAATATAAATGTTTTCATTATTTAAAAACATTTTCATTATTTAAAAGCTTATCAACTAAATCCATTATTAAGCCCCCCCCCCAATGCAAACAAGGCATCACATTATAAGGACAGGCATGCAGCAGCACTTGGGCTGCTAAGGCTGTCTCCGGCCTGTATAAATTTTCATTTTGAAGCATGTGGAGTTCATCCTACAATGTGTTCAGCTTATGTAGGTCAGGTGAAATGTATTAGATTCTAAATTATCCTTCAAAATCCCCTCAAGTCATCCACAAAGGCCACACACAAGTTTATGCTCACACAAGTCTAGGGAACAATATAGCCTTGCTCACTAATGTTGGAAACTGGCCTAATGAAGTTGCAGGTGGGACAAAAGCAAAGGCTGAGTGGCTTAGCACTCAATGCATTTGGCCAGCAGGAGGCCTGCAGTGAGGAAGGGTGCCTGTGGATTCCCTCCAGCCTTCAGGTTTAGCTCTAAGTGCAATGAAGAGTTATGAAGAGTTATTCTTTTGATTGAAGGTGGTCTGAGGACTGGGCCCTACACTAGGTCCAGGTTCTCTGCCATTATACTATAATTCTTCTTGACTCCTCCACCTTATGGATTGCCTGAGACTATAGGTAAACCTGCAGGACTTGATGAAAGTGGAGTACAGGCCCATGTCAGAGAGAAGAGATGTTCCTTAGTAAACAAGGGTTGTAGAAGGGGGAGAAAAGGGGCTGAGGCAGAGTTGGGTTGGGAAGAGTCCATCCGTGGAGACTCATGGTCCACACAGCAGGCAGAGGCTTGGCAAGCAGATGCCCATCACCCCTTTATCAACCTGGTCAGAGCCACAGCAGCTTCAACATTACAACTCAGCACCTCCCACCCCTAGCTGTCATTAAGGTCCTTTGAGACACGGAACAGGTCTTCATTTATTTCCCTCCTGTGATCTTCGCCCCTTGAGGGATTGTTTCAGTGGACACTTGGCTCCAGTGTCCCACACTTATGACTGGCTTCTGGCTTCCCATGTTACAGCAAATCCAAACCAGTTTTTGCCATGGTTTCTTCTAATTTCATCTCACATCACTCTGTCCTTTCTTCTTTAGTGTATCCCATCTGCTCTGCCCTGTCCATTGTGTCTAGTACTGTCTTTACTTAGCACTCTGCAAATTGGGATCCTATTGGTTTGTCAAGGCATAGTCCTCTTAATCATTTCTAAAACATTTACAATTCCATTTATTTATATACTTGTCATTTATTATTTATTATGCATTTGTGTATACATGCCACAGTATGCTTGTGGAGGTCAAAGGAAAACTTAGGGAATCAGTTCTCTCTTTCTATCATGTGGACCCAGGGAATTGAACCGAGGGGGTTATGCTTGGCAGCAGGCACCTTATACTTTGCCAACTCATATGCCCACCCTCCTCTAATCTTAAAGCTTATATATTCATTCTTCACTCCTGATCTCCTGAGAGCCTAGACTGTCTATGTCATGTGTGCTTGCTTGACGGGAAAAGTTAGGAAATCAAGAACTCTCTAGATTTCTGTATTTCTCTGGCATGGGAGATATTGCCTCTCCATCTCTGTTCATCATTGTTGTGCTGGCATGCTGGTTAGCTTTACTATATTTCATGTAAGCTAGATCATTTGGGAAGAAGTACTCTTAATTGAGAAAATTCCTCCATAGACAGGTCTATGGGCAAGTCTGTGAGGTAATGTCTTGATTAATGATTGATGTGGGAGGGTCCAGCTCTCTGTGAGTGGTGCCACTGCTGGGTTGGTGGTCCTGGTGTGCCTACTAAAGTAGGCTGAGCAAGCCAGGAATCATGGTCCCTCTATGGCCTCTGCATCCATTCCTGCCTTGAGTTCCTGCCCTGACCTCTGCCCTAGTGACGGAGTGTGACCTGAAAGTGTAGGATGAAATAAACCCCTTTCTCTCAAAGTTGTTTTAGCCATAGAAACCCCAATAAAGACAACTGCCATCAGCACTTGGCCACATGTGCTATGCTTTGTCTTTGTTGGCTATGTTCACTGGCTTATCACATGGTTTCTACCACATTGTGGGCTCACGGTACAATGGAGAGGCCCAGGGAAGCAGGAATAGGCAGTACTGAGCAGTGCTGTGACATCAATGTGCACTAAAGGCAACGACAGCAGCACAACAAAGCCTACAGAACCAGAGACAAGATTCCCAGGTCCCAGGAGGCGCAGCCAGGATGCCTGGCAGACAGGAAGGGTGTGGCATGGGGGTGAGGGCAGATGAAAACAAGAGAACAGTGCACTTAGGATGAGGCTGGAAGGCCTGCAGGAAAATACACCGAGAAAAGACCTCGGGTAACACAGTAAAGAATCAAAACGAAATATTTTGTCTAATTACATTTTGTAGAAAGGTTTTAGGCCAGAACCAATGTGATCATTTAAGGAAGATGCATCTGCCAGCTGAGTGAAAGCAAGAGAGAAGGATAATAAAGGCAGGGAAGCCAGACAGGCTGCTGAGCAACCGGCACTGACCTAAGATGGTCCTTGGCAATAGCCATGAGCAATAGGACACAGGTGCCAGGATGGTCCAGAAGGATAAAGGTCAGGAAATATTAAACAATAAAGAGAGGGATAACAGAAAGTCTGTTGCCGGGCTAGAAAACAAATGAAGAAATGAAAGGGAGAGATGGAGACATCAGCCTGTGATGCCTGCAGGGCATCCAGTAGAGATCTTCAAAGCTTCTGGATTCAGAACAGGGGTCCACACTAGAGGAATAAACAGGGAAGATGGGACGGACGAGAAAAAAGGAAGATACAGTGTTTGGGTTAGATATTCCTTTCTGTGTTTACACATCACCTAGAATACCCTACAGAGTATTTGACACATTTTATAAAACACATAAGAAGTTGGTATCCTGTAAGACACAGAACTGTTACCTTGGCTGTCACTGCCCTCAGTGTCTATGACAGTGCCTGTCTGGTCAGAGCATTAAATAAGCAAAACCAAACCGTTTTCTGGAGATCTTCCATGGAAGGGTAAATAAAATATACCGTTATAAAGGTATACATAGGAATACAGGAAGATTAAATGGGGAAGAAGATGGGAGGACAGAGTAGAGGCAGAAATATAAGGATGGATAACAAACATAAAGGCCTTTGGAAAGCCATACTAAAATCTACTGCTGTAGAAGCTTCCTAAAATACATACATGTATAAATGGAATTTAAATGGACTTACCATATAATGGGAAAGACAATGTCCCAATTAGACAATTTATACTTTCAAGTAAAACCCTCTGTACCATTAATGTGTTACATCTTTTTTGAGTTTTTGGACAAAGGAGTCCCAGTAGAGACCCCTCCCCCCAGTCTCTAAATTGATAATGCTATTGGTTATCCTCTACAACCTGAGGATAAGACCCCACTGCTGCGCTGGGTGGTGGTGATGCACACCTACAATCCCAGCACTGGGGAGGCAGAGGCAGGCGGATCTCTGTGAGTTTGAGACCAGGCTGGTCTACAAGAGGACAGCCTCCAAAGCCACAGAGAAACGCTGTTTCGAAAAACCAAAAAAGACCCCATTGCTGAAGGCACCACTTACTTATGCATAGAACATGAAGAAATCTAGCTGGTACTCAACTGAACGGTTCACCTCTACTGACTAACAATGCTCACAGTGCTGAAAGATACTATCCAAGCTACTGGAGGAGGAAAGCAAACACCAATCTTGCCCAGCGATGAACCCTAAGAGCTACAACAGGGGCCTGCATGCATGCATGATATCTGTAAAACAGTGGATCTGAGGTTCACTGTATGAGTGAACTCAAATCTGGTACTGTTAATGGGGCCAAGAATCTGAGACTAGGTAGACAGTGAGACCTAAGGAAACACTTCTGATAATTATTCTGCTGAATGAACACAACGACACAACAAGCATCAGGATGTAAGTCAATGAATGTTCTAGAATGTAAAAGAGGATTAGCCATGATTTACCTGATCTGTCCACGAACCAGAGGCCTGTTTTTTGTTCTATTCATGTTTGAGTCAAATGGCACCTCAAAAAACTAAAACGAAAGAGAGAGAGAAAAAAACCCAGAAAGTATTAGACATCATTCAAAACAATTCTGCTTTGGTACTGAAGCTTTTCCACAGTAAACTCTGCCCTTTTTACTTCTTTTTTTTTTTTTGGTGGTAGTGATGCTGCTGGAGATAAGACCTGGAACCTCCCAACCACTAAAAGACATTCCTGTTTCTCATCTCAATTTTGATAACATGAATTAATACTTTATCATTTCTTAGAGAAAAATTCTCTGGGAGAGACAATTTTTTTTAAAGTACTGTCAAGAATATGTATTTTTGAAATATGTATCTTTGAAAACTTTGCTAAATATACAGTTACAATCATTAAAGCCATTGTTCTAGTTTTAAAGTAGTAGAGTCCTTTACACAACCCACAGCCTGTGCATCAGTCATCTGCACTGAGCTGAGATCAGGAGGAATTAAGTGCCCAGGGAAAGAACAGAGGTGAGGCTATGATTCTGGACCTCTTGCTCTCCCAGCACAGGTTGGACCATGATAATAAAGCCTGCAGCATCCTAGTCTAGACAACACATTCAATAACCTTCCACACACTAAAGTGCAGCTTTTGCTGTTTACCTGTCAAAGGCAATATCTAAGAAATTGTTAAGACTCTTTTTCCAAACCCTTGATAAACTGTATAAATAGTCTGTAGAATTAGTTATCCATGGCAACTTGTCAACTTTAGGGGTATAACAAGAATCCAAACTCTGATCAGGTTATTTGGGAAAAAGCTTTGACTAAATGGGTTGGAGGCAAATCAGTAGAAGAAACAGTGACACAGTAGAAGTTAGTCTGTCTCCAGCTATGTTCCCTAATAACCCTGAGAGCTGCTCCCACAATGACTTAATGGTCAAATCATATTAGTGTGATAAGGGCTCTGAAAACATTAACATGAATAAATTTAATTAATGCTGCTTACTCAGTGTTTCCAAAACTTATTTGAGCATGAAATCTTTTTTTTTTTTTCCTCAAGAAAAACATGTTTAACACATTTCAGAAATGTCTGGTCTGAGTCTACTTCAGTGACAGGAATCACTTGAACGTGTGCAAACTGTAGCTCCAAATGTGGGGCTCTGCACTCTGAGCTCTCTACAGATTAATGGAAAACCCTGCTGCTGAGAGCTGTGTAAGGAGGCCTGGGGCACTTACACGAGCCGCCTGATGTCACCTATTAACAATCATGTGTGTCTTAGTGCGCTTTCTATTGTTGTGATCAAACACCATGACCAAAAGCAACTTGGGAAGGAGAGGGTTTATTTTGGCCTACAACTCTCAGATCACACACTTCATTATGGAGGGAAAGGAAGCCAAGGCAGGAGCTCAAGGCAGGAACCTAGGTGCAGGAACTGAAGCAGAGACCATAGAGGGATGCTGCTTATTGGCTTGCTTCCCAAGACTTGCCCAACCTTCTTTCTTAAAGTACACAGGACCACCAGCCCAGGGGTGACACTACCTACAGTACACTAGGCTCTCCCACATCAATCATCAAAGTGCCTTAAGGACTTGCCTACAGGCTATCTGATGGGAACATCTCAACTGAGGTTCCTATTCCCAGATAACTTTGTGTTAAGTTGACAAAAAACACCAACAAGGACAACTGACCACTTGTCACCTCGACACACCAAATATCTTTCCGTTCATTGTTTATATCCAAGATCTCATACTAATATCAACATTATAATATAAAACATATTCCAGCTTTTGAAAGTCCCATAGTCTTTAAAAAAAAAAAATCACTTTAAAAATTCAGCCTCGTTAATATCTCTTTAAAATCTAAAGTCTCTCAAGTGTTCCCGTAAACTTAAAACTAAGTTACATACTTCTTACTCTAAGAAGGAAGAATCAGGACATGGTTATAAACAAATCAAATGAAAACCAAACTCCAACAGTGCAAATTAAATCCTGCAGCTCAATGTCTTGCATCTGGGATGCACTCACAACGTTCTGGGCTCCAAAGGGCTTGGGCAGCTTACCCTTGCCTCGGGCTCTGACATCCTTTGCTTGTCTCATAGGCTCAGGTGAGCTCCGCACCATACCTGCCATTGCTCTTGGCAGTCTTTCCATAGTTCAGTTGTCTTCAATATGCCAGGGTCTCCAGAGGCTGCACCTGCATCCCTAACCTCTCCTGGGCTCTTTTCATGGACTCTGACCCTGCTACATGGTGTCAAGCTTCAATTTTTTCCCATGACCTCTTCAATCCCAGTGTTTCCACTGCAACTCAGTCTGCATCTTTATAATAGCCCCTTCTGGCCTCTCACAGTACCAAGTCTCAGCAACTTTCCATGATCCCTTCCTGCCTATAAAAATTACCACCTGGTAGACAAAATTTAGCTGCCAGCATGAGATACAACCCTGACCCTCTTTGTCACAGCTTCTGTGTGCTGAATTTGAGAAAATACCACGAAAGATTTTACCTCAATGATGCTTGTCCCTTATAACCAAAGCTGATTTTTCAGCCTAGCTAATTGCCATCTATTGTCCCTAAAGCAAATGTTTCATTATTACAAACTCTTAGTTAACAATCACACCAAAGAGCCTTGATAGTCTTTGCTCCCTGTGAAATATCACACGAGTATTTAGATCTTCTGAGTTTCCACAACAGCTCATTAAGCTCTGGGCACTCAATGGCTTTTCCAGCTCAAAGTTCAAATCTGTCCTTCATTCTCCCAAAGTTCCATGGCCAGGTCTGTTGCAGCAACACTCTACTTCTGGTACCAATTTCTGTCTCAGTTTGCTTTCTGTTGCTGAGATCAAACACCACTTGCCAAAAGCAACTTGTGGAGGAAAGGGTTTATTTCATCTTATGGTTCTTGGTTCACACTCCATCACGGAGGGAAGTTGAGGCAGGAACTCAAGTCAGCAACCTGGAGGCAAGAAATGAAGTACAGACCATAGAGGAACACTTGCTCCGATGGCTTTTGTTAAGCTTTCTTTCTTATAACACCCAGGATTACTGCCCAGAGAGGGCACCATTTCCAATGTGTATGTGTGGGGTTCCTGCATCAATAATTAATCAAGAAAATGCTCTACAGACTTGCCTAGAGGCCAATCTGATGAGGGCATTTTCTCAATGGAGGGTTAGCTTTGAGATAATGCTAGCTTTTGTTAAAATGACAAAAAACCAGGACACACATTAATAATCAAGCAAAGGCCAGCTGGTGGTAATGGCACATGCCTTTAATCCTAGCCCTTGGGAGGCAGAGGCAGGTGAATTTCTATGAGTTCAAAGCCAGTCTGGTCTAAAGAATTCCAGGACAGACAAAGCTACACAGAGAAACCATGTCTTAAAACAAAAACAAAAACAACAACGCTATGCAAAATTGTATTCTGAGCTATTTAGCAAACCTAGAAAGTCCCCAAGTCTTTAAAAATTCAAACATTTTAAAAGTGAAGTCTCTTTAAATTATCTAACATCTCTTTAAAAATCCAAAGTGTCTCAAGTGTTGATTCCTGGCTTGCTTCTCACCTCTTACTTCACCTCTTACTTACTGTAAGTTACGCAGTTATCAAGAAGTCAAAAGGCTAGAAGAAAATGGATAGCATTCAAAAGACAAATAATGCTTTCCCCTCTTGGGGGGAGGGGGAAGAGAGAGTAATCTTTGCATCTGAGTGTCATGCTCAGAGCTATAGACTACGATGGCTCCCTTTTGTGTCGGTTTGCCTATACTGGATCTACATTGCTCAAAGTCTCTTTCTGCATAGCTGTAGGTTAGATGATGCCACAGGGTCTGAGTGACATTTAGAAGCAGTAGCCATGTTGACTCTTGGAAAGCTGGTATCATGTCAGGTGCTATTTGTAGCTCACACTCAGTTGTAGATCTGGTGGCCAAACTGCTGGCTTCCAGCAGCACCAGGCCTGTAGCTTCTCCAGCTCCTGCCAGATCTCCCCAGGCAGCATCTGGTTTCTGAGTTCTTCTGGCTTTTGAAGATCCTGGGCCAAGCTTGTGTGATGCCTCTGGAAAAAATGTACCAGCTCTTCTGCAGGTCACCTGGAGGAGTTCAGATGATCTAGTTTGAGTTCAGTCGTCAATGTGTTCCAGACTCCATGCTGTTCCTCCGCTCCTCTGCTTTCTTGATCATGGCTTTGTTTACAGACCCAGCACCAAACACAAGCAAAATAGCTCTACATGATCTAACCAACACCCAGATTGCAGTATAGCTGATCCCTCCATATCTCTTACATTACTCAGTGCTTTTCACATTCTGATCCAATTATCATTAACATGGGTGTCTGCCCTTATTTTCAACATGGCTCCTATTTAAACCTGCTTGACTTGGACCTGAAGAAGTGATTTTGTGGTTAAGTGCATGGGCCATTCTTGCAGAGGATGGCTCACAACCACCTACAACCTGGCTCTATGGGGTTGATGCTTTTGACCTCTATTGCTATTGAACATACCCATGTTCATACGTGTAATTAAAATTTGTTTTAAAGAGTCTTTGAATTTTCATTACGTATTAATCCAAGTGGCAGACTTCTTGAGATGTGAATATAAAACTTAAACGTTAAAGAGAATCATTATAATACCATGCAAATGAGTACTCCAAGAACAATCAATGAGCCATCAGTGCAAACAACGCTTATACACATGGACTGCTATATTCAGTAAAAGGATGGATAATTTGTAGCATTAACAATGCTCTCTGTCCATTAGAATATTCTATATAGAAGTAGTTGAAGTTGCATATTAAAAGGCTATGTTATAAATATTCACCTCACCTCCCTACTCCCAAATTTTCAAGGCATTCTTTAAGGCATTTGAAGTGTTTTCTCTTTTTGAAACTGAAATATGTATATTAATTTCATTGCATGAGACTAATGAGGATTTCAATCACAAATTAAGTTATGTTGGTATATATAAGGTATTATTCTAACATGATACAGAAACTGGTAGTAATTTGGAGATATGAGCAATGTGCATAGGTGTGTGTACACATGTATTTGCTCATAATGCAGGAATTTTCACGAATCAGTTCATCTGGA